CTGTCAAATTAATTCTGATGAAAACCGGTATCTATACTGTGTGTAATATAAGCACAATGTTAATAATATCTGTACATTTACCGTATACTATTTACAGAGTATGATTCTCATCACACAGACACACAACACTATTCAAGAAACCAATTACACACACACATTGAGTGGATTGTATGTTAGCTGTTTATGGATGGAACAGGACACAATGTTTGACACAATGTGTTGCAAAACAGTTTGCAGTATCTCTAGACAGGCGCTACAGATGGAACTTGTTTAATAGTGCATCCCTCATTTTAATGACATTATAGAGTACATGATACAGCATTCTGTTCCACCACGTAGCCTCCAACAGTCCATCCATCAGTCTTGCATAGTGTTTTTGTTAAGAATGACATGTGCTTATACAGGGAAAAGTAGTCAAATGGTGTCCGTGCGTGTGTATTTAAGAGAGAGAGAGAGCTTTGTGGCATCAGGCCAGTATTGTGACTACTTCTTAATAGTTTTGCTAGAGAGCACTTGCATTAGCAAGGGATATATTGTTGTTGCTGTAACTTGGTATCTCAGCCGTGACACTGCTGCTGCTGCAGTACGAACTACTGATGACTATAATGTATTTGTTAGCCCACACAACCAATATCACCACCAGCCGTCACTGAGCAGCACACTGTGTATTCCTGATACACTAGTCCACACCAGACCCCAGACTCATCCCTTAAAGGCCATTAGCTCTCTCTTCTAATAACTCAGTTATATGCTTTGATAACAAATTAATTCAGCACAATACAACAAGTATCACCTCTACAGGAAGGTTATTATGACTGAAAATGCAACAAGATCAAAAGCCACAGGTTTATGTCTGACTTATTCTGCTTGTCAAACACAGGTACAGATAAGTGATAGCATTAGTAATGTCTGAATTCCCTTCATTCCAGCAATTGTGCATGTTGGCTCGCTAACATGACAAATCAAAATGTCAACCTGAGAGAGCAGGAGACTGTGTGTTTCCAGCACCGACTTTACATCCTATAAGGTAGTTTCTGTGATGATAAGAATTTACTGAAAAAGATAGACTTCCTGGAGTGAGAAAACAACAATAACAAGTTCTACATGTCACAGAAAGTATTGGAATAATGCCTTACTTCAGCATTCATCATCCAGTACACCAGTTGTACTGGTGTACTGGATGATGAATGCTGAGATAAATGTTTATAAACCTTTTTACCTGACCTCACATTCCCCTGTAACTGCATGATGTACCAAAGAGGCATTAGAGCAAGTGTATGAAAATAAATATGAGACAACACAACCCACTTTCACACAAATCATAACTCCCACCAACAGAGGGCTCTGTCAGACACTACCAGCTACTGCCACATAGCGGCGCTCCATCTCCATGTGCTAGTGCTGATTCAGTACTATGAATATAAAATGATTCATCATAATGTTAGTTAATGCTAAATATCTGCGAAGAAAGTGCAGGAATTGGCTCTGGATGTGCATAGATCAAATTATTATGAACATTTGTCCTCTCTTTTATAAAATAATGAGACTGGGCTGCTAATTTTTCTCAGCATATTGTAAGAATATTTCTGATAGAACACTCATAAATTCCTTTTGCTATAATAATTGATCACCAGGACAGCGGTGAAAATGATGTCTGTTAAACACTGACTGTACCATTTAGACAGCCTACAGTCTATGGTTGTAGGTTAATTCAATGAAAGACCCACGCAACTAAAGAAAGAAAAGAAAACAGCAAACAAATAATGACAGAATAAATAACAGTATATTGGAGTGTGTTAGATGCATACAGTACACCAGCAATTTACACTCCCAATGTCACAGTAAACCACCAATGTTACTGTTCCCTGTGCTTTCTCAGATGTCACCCCAGGGTTTGTGTTACACTGTGGCTTTGGTCAGGGTGTGGAGGGTGACTTTATTAAGCTATCAGTGCCTTATCACTGACTATTACAAGGGGAAACAATAAAAGCTCACTAGTTATTGAGACATTTAAACCTTTCAGAATTAATTTTAAAATTACTACCAGAAAATGTTGCCAGTTGAGGCTACAATGGGATAGTGAATGAGTCTGTACAGTTGCATTCCGCTTCACCGCTAGGGGGTGCTACGGTACAAAAAATGTTGATGACTCTTGAACACTTCATCCAGTTGAAACCAAATTTAGCTCACCTGTCCAGTATGGGAGAGTGAGTTTGACTGCATGGAGGTGCTACAGTAAAAAAAAAATATTAATGGCTACAAATGTCTACAGAGCGGCACAGCCAGCGCTGTCACCTCGCAGCAAGAAGGTTCTGGGTTCGAGCCCTGCTGACTGGGGGCCTTCCTGTGTGGAGTTTGCATGTTCTCCCTGCGCCTGCGTGGGTTCTCACCGGGCACTCCGGCTTCCTCCCACAGTCCAAAGACATGCAGCTTAGGCTGGGTAGTGACTCCAAATTGCCCGTAGGAGTGTGATTGGGTGGTTGTGTGTGTACATGTCAGCCCTGTCATAGACTGGTGACCTGTCCAGGGTGGACCCCGCCTTTCGCCCAGTGTCAACTGGAATTGGCTCCAGCCCCCCCGCAACCCTATTCAGGAATGAGTATAAATAATGGATGGATGGATTCAGGGAGTAACACGGTTCCACTTGTAACATGTTGAGACAAAATATCTTGTATTCTGCTTGGTTAACAGCTTTTATAATTCATTCATTTTAATATTTATTTTGAATGGTCCTCTGTCAATTTCTCTTACAAATGCTAAACAACACTTGCTTAGTACACAGATGTCCCATGGTGAAGTGCCCAACATACTGTAACATGTTCTTAGTGGCGCAGTGCTGTTTGGAACGCAGCTTCTATGTCAGCATCAGTGAATCTGTGATCGATCTCATGGTCTGTTGAAGAAAGCCGTGAACATGCATTCATCCAAATCACTTGGACATGGCTTCACCTAACTGCACCTCCTAAACCTGGCTTTACCTTCGTGAAACACATTAAACCATGATGCAGTTAGTAGGCTAGGTCAAGCCTCATTGCGTCTTGTTAGCCTGGATTTCTTAATTCTACTTTTGTGCAGTGAGAATGACTCAAAAGGCAACAAGGTTAGAACTACTGAACCCGAATCATGTAAAACAAAATAACAGTAAAATAAAAACAAACTACTCCTTATGCCCGTTGTAAAAAAATAAAAACAAACTACTCCTTATGCCCGCTGTAAAAAATGATGAACAGCAGAGTAATTAAAGTGCACAATGTTGTGGTAAATTTAGTCTGGGTTATACAGATATCATCAGAATCACATAACTCTTTTAAATTTATTTTTGATTCAAAAAGAATAAACATGAATAATATAAAACATGAAATAAATAGCCTCTAGAAAGCAGATACTTCCATTAACACACTGGTGCAAATATACATACAGGTAGGAATCTGCTGATGATATACAGTCCATAATGAGTATCATCCTAACCTCTAAAGTGGCACTGCAACAGCAGAGCATGGTGGCAGGTGAGACACACGACCCCTGCTCTAGATCTGTATTATAAAAATGCTCACAACATTGTTTTGGATGTTATCTGTGATTGTGAAGGCCTGGTTGAAATGGGCCTTGGAGGGGCTGTAGCTAAAACTCTGATGCACATTTAAAGATCAACTCCTGGTTTCTGTGTGGGGGTCACTTCTGATACGTTGACCACACGTCAAAATATTTCACAAATAGTTCTGTCCTACAACAGAGGATTTCTGTGCATAAATGGTTGTGTAACTTTGCTTGTATGCTACTGACAGAGTAGAAATATCACCTCCACCAAAAATCAGAGCTAAATCAGTCCTCAGAGTATACATTCAATTTCTTTTTCTAGAATGCCCAGATACAAAGATTCTGAAAACACAATGAAAAGGAAAAGTCCACAAATAATAACAGACAACCAAAACCTTTCATTAAATATACTGTGACCTAAAATTATTACAGATTTGGGCTTGGTGCATTTCTCCAATGCCAAAAAAGTCAAAACATTCTGCTGATTTCTTGTACACTGCATTTTTCATTATTTAAACAATACTAACCATTTATAAATCTATGTGACAACATTCAAGACACACAATGTCTAGTCAGAGACGGAGGGATCCATCTACACATGTTAAAGTGACGTCTGCCAGGACTGAAGACATGGTGATATGAATCATCCTATAAGAACAGTGATAGTGATTTTTTTTCTGCTGTCAGGTGAAGTCCTCAGAGCTTATAAAGAATTTTGTTTAATTTCTCAAAAATGGATAAGCTGGAATTGTGCTTGAATGTTTGAAAGGTTTCTGTGTGATTCAAGTTCTTTAAACCACAACATGAAGTCCCTGAATTCCAATATTAGTATGGCAGTTAGCAGTAAGAACAAACTCCGAAGTAGTCGTTTCACCAGACAGCAGCAATTTGCTTGAGCCTATATATTACTTTGTATATTGTGTGGTAGGAATGTGTTTGTTTGACTGAACTGTGTATGTTTGTGTTTATGGGTTCTTGGGGGGAACGACTGTAGGCTGGGTGTTATTATTGATAGGGATGACACCAGTGCACAGCAAGATGATGATGAGGAGGATGATGACGACAATCACTATAATGACCACGATAAGCTTGACGTTCTTCCACCAGTAGGTGCGAGCCACCTTCTGTGAGGTCTGCTTGAAGTGCTGAGCCTGAGCAGGGAGACGGGAAAGAGGTGGTGTTAGTATCACGTCATGACATGTCACAGTAGGAAAGGATTAGGGATTCACCAATACCACCCTCTAGTACTTGTAAAAGCTGTCCGATACTAGGCACCGATACCACTTAACGGCACCATTACATTAACCTCACACTGGCTGAGCTGCTCGCTAGGCGGTGGAGAGTCATTTTCAGTGGTGCGTGGACATGGTTTGAGTCATAGCCTATTAGGTTGTACCACTTTATCCTAATAACTTAAGTCAAAGTGTTCTTATTCTTTATAGTCTATTTTTACTCTACTTTTATTCTATTTTAGCTTCCTAAATGGTATGGCATTCAATACTAGGTGAGAGAGAAACAGTATTTCAATTTCCTGTATGTCCTGCGCATATAGTGAACTGACAGTAAAAATCTTTGATCTTAATATGTTAAGATAAGTGATGATGACAAAGGTGAAGCCGACTGAGCATTGCTTCTCTGCTCTGTGTCAGGGAGGGAGGGGGGGGCGCTCACAGACACATGGTGCGACGCATGCTGTGACAATAACGCTTGATATATGGAACAAAACCCAGCAGCGGTGGAGAGGGTAATTAATCAAACGCCCGTTGAACAAGTGGAACACAACAACTCATTTGCAGAAATGCGATGTCTTCACTCTCCCCACGATCAAACGCCTGGTCCGTTCACCCAGTAAACCCATATGGTGCTCGTTTTGCTGACACTAGTGAATCGTTGGGAAGAAGAAGAGCAAATGCAAATTTTATGTTGTTAATGGCGGAATCTAATGTGCTCTGTGTACGAAGATGAGTTGAATCCTTGTGGACTTGGAGGATGAGACCAGCAGCGCCTCTGCAGCAGAGTGCGTCCAGCAGAGAATACAGGACGGCGCCACAGACGGTTTAAAGAAAGAACATGTACCCTTGTTAAATGAAACATTTAAATTGCTGACTATGATAATATGCGCTCCTAAACCGTGATGGTCATTACATCATAACACTGGGTCACACTCCTGAAAAGGTTCAAATCCACTGTTACAGTATGCTGTGCAGCAGGCTACAGGCATTCAGCCAGTTAAGAATGGTGGCAGTGCTGTGTTTATCACAGTTTTTAAATTTACACAACCCCCTGTTATATTTTTAGTCACAATCACAAAGTAAATCTCATAAAAATTCAAGGATTTTTATGGTTACTGTAATTTTTGTAGTCAAAATACTGCATTATTACCTGCATTGGTACTCAGTAACAGCGAGTACTCAAATGTAAGTACATGTACTAAAAAAAAAAAAGGCACCTGTGCATCCCTAGAAAAGCTCAGTCTTGAAGTGTAGGTTTGGTGATCCATTTCTGAAGCATGTTTTGTTACACACCTTGAATTTCTTTTCACATACCAATGGCAATGAAAACATTAAATGCTTTAAAGAAAAAAATCTGTCATCTGTGGCGGCAGCAGCAGGACTGAAAAACGCCTGACCGATAGTTTTACTCACATGTAGGCAGTTAACTCCCTTTCTGTAGCTCCTCTGTGCACTGTTTGTACACCAAGTGCTTCCAGTGCATGATAAAACACACGCCTGGTACAGGTCAGAGCCACCCAAAGGCTACGTTCGCACTGCCTGCTGAAGTGGTCCTTCTTTGAAACTCAGATCTGACTGGTGTCTTGACACATGCATTAACAAATTAAACTGGATTTTTTCATATCAGATCTGGGCCAATTCCATGTGTTGTTCTAGATCTGATTTACATTAATTCTTTGACTACGCAGCTGCTGTCAGAACAGAATTCATGTGGTTTTCAGTGTCTCACTGCTCTGCACATACTGCCTGTCATTGTCATTTTGTGTCGGCCCTGCACAAACCAGTAAAAATTGACATGGAGGAGAGCCACAACAGCGATAGCGGTCAGTGGAGAGACGAGAACATTTCACGTTTGCTGGACTTTTATGGAGAAGCTTCTGATCAAGCCAAACTGGAAGGAACATGTTGTAACAGTGTTTTGTGAGGATATTGTGGATTTTCAGTTGAACAACTGACATTTTTGTTGTTATTCTTGTATACATGTGGCTCACATTTCAGTTAAATGCACGTGTGGCAGTTTTAGAAGCTCAGTGTTCACACCAGAGCCAGATGTCACTTCTAAACACAGTCGAACACAAAAAAGACAATGTCACATCATCAGAATTGAGGATTAAGGCCTGTACTGTGAATGTAGCTTTACTTAGATTCACTTTCTACAAATGTGTGTTGAATTTGAGACGGCCTCCCTGTCCTAGCTTATTAATTGACTTACCCAATGATTATCACTAAGACCATAGCTTACAAACTTAAATGGCACACCAAAAATGCACTGTTGCTCATACAGGCCACATCTCATCCCACAAACCCCCGTGATAAGACTGACCCCTGCTTGCAGGTCCTCTGTCTTGTCCATGAGGTCGTCCAGTCTCTCTCCTCGGGCCAGGATCCGGTCCACATTCTGCGTCATGATATGTTTCACTCCATCTACCTGATCCTTCAAGGTCTGCACCTTATCCTGTGACTCTGGCGCTGCATTCGCTCCCCCCTGCTCCTGGGGTTGGACAAAAATGTGATTTAAGAAAACTCGCTGAAGAACACAGAATAAGACTGGTGCAAACTTTATCTTATTTTCATCAGGGTATAAAAAGACCTTTTAACTGACAAAATAAAGGTTTTTGTGTGTTTTTAAGTGAAATCAGAGAAATGCAAAAACTTGACTTATTTTGGGGTTTAGACACCTGCCTGACATCAGACATCTGTTTCAAAATAATCATTACTTAATAATGTCTCAGTGCAACTGTTGGAGCTCTGGATAGTAACAACAGCTCTCAAAGATAAAATCTGGTTTCTTCCAACAGCTCAGTGCTGAAACTGCTCTAGTCTCATCTAGTCTGACAGTGGCATCTTGTGGAAGAGTGTTGTTCGACAGCTACTGTGTGTGGACTAGAGCATCCTTGCCGACAGGCTGAGGCAGTGTATAGGCAAACAGTTTCTCAGCTACTTAATGACAAGGAGTTCCTCCAGAGTTCTCTTTGTACAGAATATGTCTAGAACACAAAACCATAACGCATTAAAGGAATAGTTTGGGATTTTTCAAGTTGGCATTAAACCAGTATTGAAGTATCCGAATGTATGTGAGAATAGGTTTTGTTCAGTTTTACTTCTCCTACTCTCCACACTGACCCTGAATGTTTCCACCCGGAACAGCCCCATACGCTAAAACACAGCAGAGAGTTACGTTTTTGCTGGACTAATGTAAATGCACCTTCACACTCCGTCATACTGGCCTGGCTCTGTTATGTACCGATATCAGCTTTTGCTTCGATAAGAAACATTGTCACATTTTAATATCGTCACACCCTCTCTGTCAAAGATAGGCTGCAAAATCAATTGCTTTTATTTAGAGTCTCAGAGAGAATTTTTCAGTCATTCATCTCAAATGATTGACTGCAATGCATAGCATTGACAAAGAGACAGAACCAGACTTTGTTTAGCAACTTTGTTTAGTTTACTGTTTATTTACAAGTTAATGTGCTTTTCATGGACATTATCAATTCTAAGTTCAGATTACTCACCACAGATATACTATATAATGCTTCTCATGGCTGCAGAGGAGCTTTTCAAAACCTGATAACTGGTAATCAGTGTTCCCTCAGTCTGGGCAGGTGCTTAATAACAGACAGGTGTGAGCAGCAGGAACTGCAAGCCTCCATTACAAACCGGAGGTGTGGAGTCTGAATTACGAGCATTAATGAGGCTGGGAAGGTCTGATGAAAGTTGCATTGTGGGAAAAGTAGGAACAGTTTTTTTTTTTTTTTAATTGATTCATACTTGTGACCAAAAGGACACCCAATTTTATGGAAGTGCAATACTAAACCACTGGAGAACCCCTTTAAAGCTCAGCCTTTCCTGGTCTATGCATGTCTTTTTAAGCTTTTTACCTTAAGTCCTTTAACATTCTTTATCTCCTCCTACTTTACTTTTATCCCATTGGCTGGATTTATCTGTCAGATGCCAGCATGAATCAGTGTGGCACCAGAATCTAAAGACACAAATCAAAAGGTCGTGACAACACAGCCTGCTGGCTGTCAAACTGTTTCCTGCATCTCAGGAAGGCCTGCTACATTCCACAGGAGGATAAGCAGTGATCTCTCACAGTCACAGGTGTAAAAGTAAAAATGGCATACAGAGTGTGGTGTGTGTACCTATGAACCAGCAGCAGACCGTAAAAAACACCGTCTCTAGGAAACAGCAGATTTTGATACGTCATCTGCCATCTAGCTTCCTTTCCATCTTTATTCCCTCCTCCCTCATTTATAATGCTCCTTTCTTCCTTCCCTTACCGTTCTTCTATTTCTACTGTTAACACAGTATGACCTATTTAACCTCTCAAAACAACACCTTTACAAACCTGCTTCGATGTAGCTGCTTTTGATCATATACAATATGTGTTACTTTTGTCATTTGACATATTTCTCTGTTCTTTCTTAACAGATGGCTTGCTGTGCTTTATCTGCCATATAAACCAGAAATATTCTGCTTTTCCTGTACTGCGCCATTCAGTCACTGAATGGCTGGCAGCTATCTGATATCAACACTGACCGAATGACGGAGACATAAACATGTCCTCTACAAGGCGGTATTACCGGTATTTGACTATCTACTCAAATATTTGAACTGTTGTAAGACTTGAGCTGAAATGGCTGACCGCAGCTGTGAATACACAAAGTGGATTTAAATGATCTTGGGAAGCCACATGAAATCTTTACCGCATGTGTCCTAATCTAGGCAAACATGGAACTGATCTGTGAGAGCATTTGACAGGTTTTGAGATTTTCCTTTTTCTAAAGCATCCCTATAAATGCTGCAGGCCACAGGCAAACACTTACTGTTGGTTTAACTCTTGCCCTCAGTACAGCCAAGTCCATCTGTAGCTAAAAGGTTTGCCTGGACCTTCAAAGAGAAGGAAGGAAAGGCCATAGAAGCCACAGCTTTCAGCTGTTCAGAGGACAAAGCAACAGTTTCATGTCAGTAGCCTCAAGCAGGACTTCATTAGACCCCACAGACTGTGTGTTACTGATAACTGTGAGAAGAATTACAAAACCAAGTAGAGTAACAACCTAGCATGCAACACTAATAGATAATATATTTACCAATGTTATTGACAGCAAAATGACAAGTGGATTACTTATAAATGATATTAGTGATAATCTACCAGTATTTGTGGTTTATGATGGCCAGTATAGAAAAGAGAGGCCAAAAACAAATCTTTTCTATAGGAGGGTGACGAATGAACATGCTGTAAGGAAACTGGGAATCAGTTTACAGAGAGGAAGACTTAGATAAAGCATATGAGCAATTTTTAAATATATTTAAGAAAGTATATGACAGGAACTGTCCTCGTAAGCAGTATAAAAACAAAAGGAATTACAGTGGGAAACCGTGGATGAGTAAGGGATTACAGAATGCATGTAAAAAGAAGAATGCGTTATATAAGGAATTCATAAAGGACAGATCAAAGAAGGCGGAAGAAAAATATAAGTCATATAAGAACAAATTAATTGAGATTTTGAGGAGATGTAAGAAACTATATTACTCTAAAGTATTAGAGGATAATAAAAATAACATGAGAGGTACTTGGAATATATTAAATAAATTGATTAGAAACAGTTCAAGCAAGAGTAACTACCCTCAATATTTTATGGATAATGATACACCGGTTAATAGATTGGAGGATGTAGTGGAAAAGTTTAATAGGTTCTTTGTAAATGTTGGTCCTGGTTTAGGAAGACGTAACTGTACAGATGATACATCCGTCACTATAAATAACAATACAATCAAAAGGAACATGAGTTCAATGTTTTTGAAGCCCATAGCTGAAAAGGAAATTATAGAGATAGTGAACAATGTGGAAACAAAACATCCAGTGATAGTGATGGTATCACCATGACAACTGTCAAATGGGTAATTGAGGGGATATGTAAACCATTAACCCATATTTTTAACATGTCGTTTCGACTTGGGCAGTTCCCCAATAATATGAAAATAGCAAAGGTTATTCCACTGTAGAAATCTGGTGATAAGCACAACTTCACAAATTATAGACCGGTTTCTCTGTTGTCACAATTTTCAAAAATCTTGGAAAAACTCTTTAATAACAGATTAGATACATTCATTGAAAAAATAAAATCCTCTCTGATTGCCAATACGGTTTTAGGTCGAACCGATCGACATCTTTGGCCATTACCGACCTGATGGAGGACATTACAAGTGCTATGGATGAGAAGAAATACACGGTGGGAATATTTGTTGACCTAAAAAAAGCATTTGACACAATCAATCATGAGTTATTAATGGATAAGTTAGAAAAATATGGGATCAGAGGAATGGTTTTGAATTGGATCAGAAGTTATTTGACACAGAGGCGTCAATTTGTGAAGTTGGGTGAATACCAATTGAGTGAGCTGGACATTGTATGTGGAGTTCTTCAGGGTTCTGTTTTGGGACCTAAATTATTTATATTATACATTAATGATATATGCAAGGTTTCTGATTTAGTGAAAGTGGTTTTGTTTGCTGATGAAACTACCATATGGGCATCGGGTGAAAACCTACAGCAACTCTCTGGACGGGTTACACAGGAACTTGAGAAGATAAAGAAATAGTGTGACAGTAATATAGTATCTCTGAATTTGGATAAAACTAAATTTATGGTATTTGGGAATCGTAGACTAGATAATGAACTTCAATTGAAAATTGGGGGAGCTAATATAGAACGAGTACATGAAATAAAATTTCTAGGTGTCATAGTTGATGACAAATTCTCCTGGAAATCTCATATCAGATATGTTCAGCACAAAATAGCAAAAAATATATCGATATTGGCAAGGGTTAGATATATGTTGGACGGGAAAGCACTA